AAGTTCTGCGTTTTGAGTCCTTTTTCCTGCCACACAGCCAACCATGACAGCCAATATCAGGCTCCACTGGATGGGACACTGATCGTTTAGTGGTTCCAAGCTGGCTCCTCCTCAACAAGACAGGTGTCTCTGCTGTGCACCGAGATCCCTGTCAGGTCAGTCAGACTAAACTTCTACTCCAGCTGTGATAAACTCAGTTTGTATTTGGAATCAGTTTAGGAAAACTTTAAGGCTACATAGTCTTTCTCTTTTTGCACCACTTACTAGAAACCACATGTTCCCTCCCTCCTTGTCAGGGGGAGAAGGTGTTCTGCTCTTTTAAAAGGGGCACACAAAGTGCTTCACAGTATGGAATAATGGTAAATGATTACACTGAATAATAAGTAATTAAAACAAATCGCAACAATAGTCAAGCTGCTTTATATCGTAAGGTAGACGCTACAGTAATACATACAGAGAACAACCCAACAATCGTTTGTTAAAACTCCCTTTGAACAGGAAGAAACCTCCAGCAGAACCAGGCTCTGGAGGGGCCCCTTCATGTTCACCATGCATTACAGACGTTGTGCATGTTAAACTGCAAAAGATGAGATGCTCCCTCAAAGGACCAACGTCCGGCTTCTACACCATTTCTGACATTTATTGAGAAATGGAAAGATGAACAACAGCTGCCTCTGCACAACTGGCTGCATGTGCATGTCTATAAATGTCAATTTCTTTGTCAACCTGCCTTGTTCAACCCCCCCGCCCCCTCTTCTGTTTTAATCTGGCAGATGGGAGGGTGGGGTATGCTCTTTGGCTTGTATGTTTGATTTGTTGTTGTGATTGTATAAACATCTCTTTCAATAAATGACCTTGATTGCCACTGGCAGCCATGCATGCCCGAGCCATCTCTCTGCCGTGTTTTACATGTTGTTGCTTTGGATCATGAGCTGTTCCACACATTCTCCAAACTTTTTTCCAAAACTGTGTTGGCCTTTTCAGATGTTTTCCAAGTCTAGTCTAACCTTTCTATTCTTGAGGTTCATGAGTGGCTTGCATCTTGCAGTGAAACCTTTGTATTTACTTTCATCTCCTGCAGAGTGTTGCTCGATGTTTGGCTGTTGTGAAAGTATTTTTTATATCCATGGACATTCTTAACAGTAAGTTCTTTTACCTTCAGGGACAGCTCTCCCCTTTGACCACATGTTGTCTGTTCACAGCTAACTGTTTTTCATGCATGCGCCACCAAGGAATAGCCCGCCTGCTAATAAAATAGGCCTTAAGTCAATTGTCCTATTATTATTATTATTATTATTATTATTATTATTATTATTATTATTATTTTGGTCCATTTAAAAAGAGTGGCACATGTTAGGAGCTGGAACTCCTAAACCCTTTAGCCAATTAAATTTGGATACCCTCAAATAAAAGCTGAAAGTCGACTTGTGTCCGTGTCCAAATATATATGGACCTAACTGTACCTTGGCTTCATCTGAAGCTGGTGATTTCTAAGGACTCAGGCCTGCTGGACATCATTGAAAACCTTGAAACTGTGGTCAGGATTGGTCAGTCCAAAGATTTATCACATGGTAGACTGATAAGCACAAA